ATCTGATATCTTTTAAGTATTGTTACAAAAAACTAGACAGCTTACTAAATTTTTGGTATGAAATTGTATTGTCTCGATATTTATTACAAAATTATTATTTTTATTTGGTATTTAAACACTTCTGTAAAATTGTAATCATTAAAAGTGTACAAACTGGTACTTCAAACGATTAAGAGTTTTTAATTACGTCAAGTGATAGATTCGACAGATTAAGTCTCTTAATACGAGACCATTGTTCCCAACGATAAATCGAAAAAATGAAAAGAAAGAGGCTGGAGAATGCTCATCTTAGTAGACAGATAGATTTATACGTTAATCCTTTGATAGATAGCCAAATACCTTTCGAACATGCCCATCCCGTCAGAACGTAACGAGATATCGTTAGTATGTTTTATATTAAGCCTTAGAAGCGAAGTTCGAATATCTCTTTCGTAGCCAGTTAATTGACAAGCCGAGATTAAACATTATCCCCGGCCATTTTTCATTCTATCTAATTCATTGCCCTTTAAGCTGTGTCTAACAAAACTTGTTATACAGTTGATGTATAAAATTGACATATAGACTTTAAGAAAATTATACGTGTTTTCTAAACAATATAATTATTAAAAATTTCTCAAATTTTCAACCCTCGAGATAACAAATCTATTTTACGACAACTCTACTAATATTTTCGTTAACTAGCACGCATCATCAGATATGGCTGTGTAACAAGTCGTCGGACTTCCTGCGTTTGACAGAACAGGTTCAAAGCGTCAAGAATAAAGATGTAGTAAGCAGGAAAGTGTATTTCTGCTCGTTGTCATCGTGTGCATTTCCGTGCGAGCATCAAGTTAATTCGGTTGGTCCCGGTTCGCAACAAATCGTGTTTGTACGCGTAAATGCTAAAATAGAATGGCAAGGCATATTAAACAAAGCCCCGCGATACCGTGAACGCGTCCCCCTTACCTAGTTACACCCCTCACAATCGTTTCGCATAATTTCCCTTAACACTGCACGTGAAATACGATTTTACGCTTCCGCTGTGCCGCGTTACGTCCTCGCGCGGGAGACAATTAACGCGCGTACTTGTAAACAATCAGAAATAGCCTCCCTCTTTTCTTTTACGGAAGTAAATTTGATTGCTTCTTAAATAAACGTTCAATCGTTCAAACGAATTTATTTAACTCGAATTGGTATGGGATAAACTTAACTTACTAACTCGTCTTTTAGATTATAAAACGAGACAAACAAATGTAAGCGAATTTGCAAATGTTTAGCACTTTTTTCGTTATGTAAAATTTTCCTCTGAGTTTTGGTCAAAGAGATTTCTATTAAAGGTTGCGGGGGAAAGTAAAGAACATTTAGGTGTTAGTCACAGAAATAGCTTCAAACGAATCATCTTAGAATTATAAATTTACATTCAAATAACTGTGAATGATACGTTATTTAGAAAAACAAACTATGAAGTAGAGGTATCAAGCTTCAATGTAAGAGAAAATCCATCGTCCTATGATAATTTATTGCTGAGGGATCATCTTCAAAACTTGAACAATTTTCGATCACTTTCGTGATGCCATAATTTTGTTTGAGTAGTGTAGATATAATATATAGATAATACAATCGAAATAAATTATATGAGATCTGTGGAACGTATACTCACTTTATATTTTGAGTGTACGTTGTATAAATAGTAGAACCAAAAAAATTCATTTTCCCAACAGATTTATAAACGGACGGACTTTCCGCAAAAATATAATGAACCAAATAGACCTATTGTAAGTTACATTAATCGTGATGTATAGCGTTCCTTATGTTATTCATAAAGTTCAAATAACATTCTCTGAATTCCGACTCCAGCGGCAGCTCTTTATCACGTGGTGAATTTGGTTTATTAAAGACACTCGAATAGTGACTCACAAATGCGGTTTGATGGTGATCCCATGGCGTAAGTGTATGCAATGCAAATTAAACGTGTGGATATTTTAGTGTACAGTGAATTATAATGACTTTTAATATAATCTAATAAATTTGACTTACAATCTAAAAATATCATACAGTTTTAAAACGAGAAATAAAACAGATCAGCTTTGAGATTTCTTTATTATCGGAAGACGTAACGAAACACATTAAGAAACATGAATGAATCCAACGACAAGCCAAAAATATTAGAAGAAAAATCCGTTTGGACGTCCGTGTTATCTTATATCTTATATACTTAAATCAAATTAATTGAGGAAGTGAATATTGGCCAACCAAAATCGGTGAAAATGCTCTGAGCTTCAGAATGCGCAGGAGGGGACCGACGACGGCAGAGGATCCGACCGAGTCAAAGGATCCCGCGTCGCCACGATCGTGTGACGATTTCTTTTCGCGAAGAACACGATCAAACCACACGTGCTCCCCTTTTACCCTGAAACATTTAAACATCCGACACGATTAACGCTGAACCGATATCAAACGATTTCTACCGGCCAAGGAATTCGATTCAAGAAAAGAAAAGAACTTCCTCAGTTTCAATACTTTGAGTCCCAGGAACGTCATCACATCAAATTACTTTTGCCGAGCAAAGAATCCAAAGGAACGGACGACGTCAGATAGAAACGCGAGAAGGTCTTTGAACCTACTCGTTTCGATACTTTGCGTCTCTGAGACAGATCTGAGCTGAAACGGATTTGCGGGCTCTAAGACTGGTTTGTGAGATAGATCAAAGACGGACAAGATGTAAGGAGAACGCAGTGTGCTGGACGATTCACCGTTTCCGTTTCTTTTCTCTTCGCCGCGGAAAGAAGGGGGAGGGGGAAGAGCGTGTAGAAGAAACTCGGCCGTTTCTTCAAGATGCTGGACATATTCCGGGGCCTGAAAAGCCTGATCAAGATCTCTCACGTGCACATCGACACGGCCGTGTTCCGGTTGCACTACAGTTTAACGGTGATCCTCTTGATCGCGTTCTCGTTGATCGTTACTACGAGACAGTACGTAGGGAACCCGATCGACTGTATTCACAGCAAAGACTTGCCGGAGGACGTGTTGAACACGTACTGTTGGATACACAGCACGTACACGATCACTGCGGCGTATAAGAAGCGAGAGGGTTACGAGGTGCCGTTTCCCGGAGTGGATAACTCCAAGTCGTATCCGGAAAGCGAGAGGAAGGAGTACAGGTACTATCAGTGGGTCTGCTTCATGCTGTTCCTGCAGGTAATCAATTAATCACCGTTCATTCAACCTTGTCTTTATATTTCTTACTGTTTCAATTTGCGTATCGTCGTAGTTTTTTATAAGGTCAAGAAGGTAAATCGAAAGTCTAATCTAATGAGTCATCTGACTTTTAATACGATTTTAAAAGCTGTTACAGATTAAAAAAATTATTCTCAGCTTTTACGTTCATCTTATATCATAATAATAGTTAATAATTAAAGTCATTAGTTATTAAACGTTATACAAAATATTTGAATTTACAAATAAAACGGAACTCTTCTGTGTATCTGTATGACACTAACGGTGATACATACTTGCCTGTGTTTATTTCGGGCCAAAATACAATGAGTAGGGGGTGCGTTCGTGTATCAATCGTGATTTGGGAAATTCGGTAATGAGAAAAGCTGGATAACTAACGAACTGGTTGTGGCTATGGTCGAGGAATTTACTTGCTGCTTACAGAAGCTTATATCTAGTTCATTGCCAAGAAGGAAACCCTAAGCATATTAACTCGTTAAACCCGTAGTCGTTACTTTGTCGCCGAGGGTCGCTGTCGCGCGAGTCGCCTTGAGGCTCGGTCAAAGACGCACCTCCACCCTCACCTTTCACCTGATCTCTTCAAGTAGAGCATGTTGTTAAACGGAATTAGATACCGGCCGATAGAACGGCCGGACAATTAGATGTCTTTTGACATCTTTAGGGAATCGACTCAAGTATCGCTAATATTAATTGATAATATTTACTTCTCTTCAGTAGCTTGAAAATATTTTTGACGATCATTTAAGACATTTTAGATCAGGCACAGTACAAACACAAAATATAAAAAAATGTCCCCTAATATGTGTTATTTTTTCGTGTTTCCAGTTAAACACCAATTATTATGATATCTAAAATAAGAATTATAGTTTCTAAAAATGAAATACGTACAATGCTGCAATTATGTAGATCAAGTATTTTGATTAGCTTGTATATGGAACGAGTCCAAAACGTTTTTGTCGGCTAATTAAAATTATCTCCAGTACCGTTTGAATATGATCCTTCACAGGTAAATTTGGTTGGTTCCAACAATAGAGCGACAATGACCCGAATGTTTCATCTTCCTTTTGCTCCCATGATTCTCGGTATCCGCTTTTCTTTAAGCGACAATAAATGCCATTGGCTGCTAGCCAGTTTCTTAATAATCGCGATCGGTATATTATTAAACGAGATATCATAATATGTGCATCCTTTACTTTTTCAAGTTTAATACATCAGCGTTGAGAATTATTCACTTCGTCATATTTTGAAAGAACTTCGCGTGACTACAAAGAACGTTTTTCATTTATTTGATCCTTTGAAAATTATGCTAATAATAATTTGATTTAGTTCAGAGTCTTACATATTTTTTAATCACTCAATTTGATCTAGTTTTTTATCTTCAATCGTTTAATTATATCTAAATCGTAATTATTCATTTTAAATGCATCCTTTAACCATTTAGAGTTTAATTCTTGTGTTGAAAGATCGAGAATCTACATTTGATTATATTTTGTTAAAAAGATTAATATTTCTTAAAATACTATTTGTTCTCATTTAATGATTCACTTTCAAGAATTTAATGAAACAATAGGAAAACAATAGCTGATAATGTCCAGCGTAACGTAATATTACGCTGGGTTTATAAATGTTACAGTCAACAAAGTTTTAAGAGAGCAATTCGTTATTCGCTTTCAAAAGCGTATGAGTTAAAGATCGAGCGTTTCGAAAGAATGATGGAACGAAAATCGATTACTCCCGCATACTTGGAATTTTATGGTTCCCTCGTGGGTTGAGCGAAAAGCGAGGTTACTTTGCAGAAACGACGTCCCTAAATTTAGTTATTTATAAGTTTTGTTCTTGTTTACGCCTCAGTTCTTCTATCAATACCTAATATTTCTAAACGACATGTGAGCATCCATTTATATGCGAAACGCAATGCAAAATATATTCATGTCCCGTTAAAAATGGTCGTGAAATTAATTGTCTGCTTTATTTGAAAATATATTATGAATGGTTTCAAAGTATTCTGTAAAATTATTTCTATTAATAATTGTAATCAATTAAATCAACTTTCATTTTTTGTATGAATCTGCCAATTTTACAGATGTACTAACAATTAGTCGAATCAATGTATGCGTCCGTTTTGATCGTTTCAATCCTAGTGGACATCAAAATTGAAATGAATCAATTATAATAATGATGTTTTACACCTACATAAATTTCGTTGGTAGGACAAGGGAAGGATAGTTAGACAATGATATAAGTTATGTGTTTAGCACCGAGGCCTCGCAAGGGATGCCTCTCAAGTTCGCTAGTCTTCTAACGGCTTGCTTTCGCGCCCCACGTGTGTCTGTCACCGTGTCCGAATACTCGTTCCGTCCTCTCGTTACTCGTTCTTTTATTTCAACGAACCAAGAATGAAAGAAATATGTAATTAGTATTGTTTACCTGGTTAATTACATGCCTCGCGAACACCTAGTTTGATACAACAGTAATAAAAAGGTGCGTGATATTCTGTGTTTTATAGCTGATGAAGGACAAAGCATGTTTGAACTCCTTATGTAAAGTGTATTTATACGTTGGAGGAGGAAGAAGAGATTATAAAAAATTGACTAACGATGCTGCTATATAGACAATAAAAGATCTGAAATGAATGTTGAAAGATAAAATAATGCGTGTTATGATATAAATAAAAGTCAGAAGAATGATTCAATTACGGAACAAAACATTTGCACTACAGAGGAAAATGGATGACATTTTATTGTTAAAAGAGATGAATGAAACATGTTTTATCTCGGGACGTGAAGAAAGAATGAAATTTTAAGAAGTCTCAAAAATGAATTTGGAAAATAAACCAAAGTAGACTGAACGATGAATACAATTTATGAGAAGAAATGCTGGTAGAACGTCTGATTTAGCGTTTGGAAGATAAAAATAGCAAAACGCGAGCAATATGTACATAGTGAAGCTACTGTTTTTTATTCGCCAGCAAAGATTTAATTGTCCGGAGTCTTCTGAGGATAATCACGAGGAGCACGATGAAGAAAATGACGCAGTGACAAATTACATTCTTATATGTTTTATTAGTTGCAACAGTCCCTGCGACAATTTTTCTAAGCTTACGTATGAAAATCTGAATCTTATTTTTAATGACGTCCAACTGATTGGTCATTGAGAAATCACTGTGTACTCCTGCGAACAAACCGAAATTCCTGAAATTGGTTATATTTCATCGATAAGTCAATTATGAATTTTTCTTAACTTCACTTGTTTTCAAATTGTGACTAAGAACTCCGATATTTCTTCACTTCCAACGATTAGCTTAAATTATTCTAATTCTACAACAATTATCAATATTCTGCAACAAGTGACAACACATTTTTCTTCGGCTACTAACGTTGAGTTTGATAATTTTCACTACACGGTCCCGAGGAAGCGTTTTCGTAAAAACGGATCTGTTGAACGGCGACGAGGAGGACAATCCTCTGATCGAAGAGGATTCAAGTGTCCCGAGGGCGGTTCGCCGTCCGCGACGCATAAAAATGCCTCTCCTACTAAAGATGGTCGACGTGTTTGGCTCATTGAGGTCCTTGTTAAAGTTTCATCGGGTTTCCGTGGACACGATGGTATTTCGCTTGCACTATCGTGCGACAGTAGCCCTTCTTCTCGGCGGCTGTGTCACTCTGGCCTGTAAGAGCATTTCCGGTTCGCCGATCCACTGCGAGGCGTCCGGTTCCGTGGACAAGATCGTCCTCGAGACCTTTTGCTGGCTTCACACCACGTACAGCATGGTGCACGCGTTCAACATGAGTTTAGGCCAGGCGGTGCCCTATCCCGGCGTATCGAATAGCAAAGGCGACGGGTTGCACGGCCACGCGCCGCATCCTCTGGTCAAACAGCACAAGTATTATCAGTGGGTCATCTTCTTCCTGCTAGTACAAGTAAGATCCAGTTGTTGATATTGGTATTAGCTGTTGGAGACGGTTAGAACAGTATCTCTGAATCATTTTCAAGTTGTCTTCTTACGTAGGTATTGCTTTTTATCCCATGGAATTCATTCTATAAATTAACTTATTCATCGAATTAAAGGTTGTTACATCTGTTTCAAAACACGCACTCATACATATACAGGGAAGTCCATAAATATTCGTATACATTCAAAAATTGTATATTTTTTCTCGTTTTTATTTTCAGTCTTCAGTATAGTATTCATGTAATGTTTCAACAAATTAGTGGTTCATAGTACGTAATATCTCGTTTTCTGAGATATCTTAAATATTACATTAATTCAAATTTATTAATTTTTAATTTTTCAAGTATAACAACAATCTTTCTCTGTATGACTCTCTACTTCACTTATGTTCCCATGCTTTTAAAAACAAAGAAATATCAAGATGGTTGGTTGGACAAATACAAGTTTCCATACAACACTCGTCGCTTTTGGATTATCGATCAACCAGTGACCAGATTATAATCATACTCATAAGTCAAGGTCGTGCCGCAGGCCTTCAATAGGCTTTGCTCAAGCTTGTAATAAGTGGACTTGGCCAATACTATCTTCTTTAACGTTGAGAGATTCACTCCTAAAGGTTACGCGAAATTGGAACAGTTCTTGGCAACGGAACTCATTAATCGATACCAATGTGTGGAGTTTTTTACGTATAAGAGTTATAATCTACTATACGGTTTGCAGCTTTCTAACACAGTAGCCTCTTTCATTTGTCTCATTCGGCAGAATGGACAAATGAGGTAACGAGACGGGAGAGGAACGTTACACGTTTGAAGACGTTAAACCCGATTTTCCGCTTGTTTTACCAATTTTATCCATTTGCCATCTGCTCCCACGTGGCAACGTGTGTGCTCTTCCCCATCTTTTTTCTCTCATTTCTTTTCCGATGTACATACGAACACTGTATGCACCCAACTGGCATGTGAGCAGCGGCGAAGTATAGTTAGCTTCGTTCTATTTTCATCCACGGATTTTCCCTTTTTGTGTCGGATTCGCGTCGACATAGAACGGGAGCGCGACCCTTTTCACTGACTAGGTGCACCTTTTTTCCATGCAGTCAACAAAGCTTCGATAATTTACGGCCGTTCGTTTCGACAAAGTATAATAAGTCGTTACTTACAGAAAAAGTTCATTACTTTCGAACAAAGAGAAAGGAAATTGCTGTGCAATTACATAGCTTGTATATATGCAAAATAATCTTGTAATTGAATTAGACTAACTGAATTCTTTTAACGAAATGCAGTAAATTAAAATGAAGAGCAGATTAAAGCGAAGATTTTAGTAATATTCGCATCAGTGCTTTGATTTTCATCCCTATGTTGCGTGAGGTACACCCTAATCGAGGATCTCTAAACTTTTAACGACCCGGATTAAAGGAATTCCGTGGTTTAAAGCGTCTTTGGTAACGTAAACTCGTTAACCAAATTGGATCGCCGTTGAGTCAACAACAATTAATCAATTCGCGACCGTCCCAAAACAATGACGCCGTTTGTAGCGATTTTATCGTTCGACCGCACGGATTGCACAGCCGATTTGGTGTCTTTAGACGCGTGCCAAGATTTATAGAGTAATACGCGATGTGAATGGTGTCTATAGCCGATAGGGGATCTCTGATTTCGGGTCGTTGCCAATCAGCAAAGGGTATTCAGTATTGTGGCTAAGGAATCATTCATGCTTTTGGCACGATCTGCCCGTTTGTTATGATAACTCTAGTAAGCCGAGCGTTGGAAGATGTTCTGGCTAAGTTTGAATTTTGTATCGATTCTATGTATCAGGTAATAATAATGCAAGTATCTTCTACTTTACAAAATATGCAAACTCATATAGTATTTTATTGATAGTTTTTTTCATTTCATAATTTATTATAATATTTTCAGCCTATTTACTTATGATTTCATTTACCATTTACGTGAAACATCTGTTTTAATCGTAAGAAATATTTATGTACAAAGATTACCTAATTCATAATTGTTTGACAATGATAATTGATTGCGATACGTTAAAACAGTTTTAACATATGGATTGGCTACTGTTTTAGGCGATCCTCTTCTACACGCCACGATGGCTGTGGAAAGGCTGGGAGGGTGGCAAGATACATGCCCTGATGATGGACCTCGATATCGGGCTCTGCTCCGAGGTCGAGAAGAAGCAGAAGAAGAAGATGTTACTCGACTATCTATGGGAGAATCTTCGCTATCACAATTGGTGGGCTTACAGGTACTACCTCTGCGAAGTTCTAGCCCTGCTGAATGTGATCGGTGAGTGGCACGTTATTTTTTTTTTTCTGACAATCTAATTTCTCTTTCGCTTCATCTGTTTCTTATTGATTCTGCATTATTTTGTAAATACGCTTTTCTCCGTAAGTTTTGTACAAAGTAACGTGAATATTCAAGACAGGAATATCTGATGTAATCATCGTTAGGAAATCTGTACGTATTATTGTTAAAATCTGAGTATAATAGCGTTGAAACTTTTTTTTTGAGATCTTTTGAAGTTCGCATGTGACGAAAACTGATTTTGACGTTATTTCCTTGATTCGTCTTTTTTTCGTCGAGTTTCATCTAAGAATATGAGACTGAATATTCTTTGATCTTCAACGTTACAAGCTTCTCGACGAAGAGATAGACCGCGGTTATTACCTTCTTTAGCTATTTTTAAAACTAGCAAGTCGCTTGGCTTCGTGCTTTTCAAAAGAGAACATAGGAACATAGGTACTTACAAAGAAACAGGAATCGTTGACCTTTTCACAGGAACATAAAATCTTCGGATGCATAGAAGTGCGCATGATATGCAAAAACCTTAGAACACGAAGTATCTACATATGTATGCATATGTTGTAATGTCCGTAGTACATGAAAGCCTTCTAATTAGTAGTATGAAAATAAGATTTTACAATAATAGAAATCTTATATAAAATCTCAGTTTCATCATGAACGAATAAGATACACACATAGATGATGTACAATAATGACGTGAACAAATATCGAGAATAGGTGGTGAATTTCGATGGAACTCTTATGCCAAAAAATTTTATGTGGGATCTGAACAAAGCTTGTTACAGTAGGGTTTTTGGTGGCACATATTTCTATTTGGAATCTCGAAACAAACTTTACCGTTTTCCGCGAAACGTGGACGTAATAACATTATTCTGTATGTTTCTCTTTGACCGTCAAATTTTCCCATTCACCTTTCCCGAATCATTTTACACACCGCTAGCTGCCACACAGATATGTTTATCTTCTTTCCTGTTATTTGTTTTGTTACTTTTAACGATTCTATATTTCTCCACTACAAGGGAACGAATCTTAAAACAGCGCCTTTATCTTTTGCTCTCTTGCATTCTGTTCCCCGAAACGTCATGCATGTAATATTCACGAGTTTTGTTGGTCATTTTCTGAATAAAATGATTTCATAGCCTTTTCATGTGCATGAGGAATGGATGCAACGAGATAAACGTGTACGCGATTAAACATAATATGCAAAAAAGCTAAACTTCGTTTCGGGGGACATTTTATATCCTTTTTTTCATGATCTAATTGAAATCGATGAAAAAAAGAGGGAATATGAAGTCCTGACTGTCGGAATTCATCGATATCGAAGATGTAAAATAATATTATAATTATACTGTTCCATTACATAATTAAAATTTATTGAATTTTACGGTCGGAGAGTTTAATTAATTAATCGTATTTTAATGTGATGAGATAATGAAGTACTAGACGAAAGGTCGACAGAAGCACGCCAGGAACAAAGTAGACGTTAAATAAAAGTGACAGATAACCACATAGGTTGACTGTTTAGGATGCTTAACGAATAGCCAGCTGTATCGTTGCCAAATGTCATTGCAAACAGTTCATTCACTGATTCTCTGTTACACATTCCCTTTATGTACAATCAAGTCATCGAATTAAATGTTCTAAATTTTAATACCATCTAATGTTAAGAAAATTATCAATAATTATTCATGCGATGATGTTATTGTAAAATCAATATTTCTAAGGATATAAAGAATGAAACCAAAATGAGAATTCGTTTCATTCCTTTCCTGTTTAAAGATTAAAATTCTAAACAATTTTTTTGCACTATCTGATCGTAATCGATGAAAGGAGAGAAAAAAAGGAAGTCTTGGTTTTCGGAATTCATCGGTACAGAAATTATACACGATTAGAGGTGGATGATTTTATAGCATTAGAATTGCTTACTTAACACTTGGATGTGTCACTCCATCCTCAAGAAAAAAAGTTTGCCTTAAGACTAGGGGGGTTGCAATCGCCTGACAAATTTATGGCACCGTTCTGGCTCATATCATTTATTTATGAGATAACAGAGGCTGTGCCTCGACATTAAAACTTCCAAAAGGAAATAGTTAATTTTCCCCCAAGGATTTGTACGGAGCTCGTCGCCAATGTTTTGCATCTATTTCCGGATGTATCAAAAGAACTCCCGTGTTTCTCGTGAACTCTGTATTTCGGACTATTTTAAATATCGATGAACTAGAATAGATCAAAGACGGAGAGGTAAAAGTTCCACTCATTCATCATAGGTGAGAAATCGATTAACAATGACAATAACTCGATTTTGTATTACTTCTGCTGAGTCAGAATCTAAAAGAAAATTAGGCAAGAAAAATGGAAAAGAAATAATCCTGTTTATTCAATATAAACGATATAGGTTTATTTATAATAAAAAGTTTGTAAATTTTTTGTGAATTTACAGCGGGAATTACAAGAGGGACTTGAATTTGCGCAGGTCAGATGTTTCTAATGAACCGGTTCTTCGATGGTGCGTTTCTGACGTTTGGTATCGACGTGCTCAGGTTCCTCGAGTCAGATCAGGAGGACCGGGTCGATCCGATGATTTACGTGTTCCCGCGGATGACCAAGTGCACCTTTTACAAATACGGCGTCAGCGGCGAGGTCGAGAGGCACGATGCAGTTTGCATACTCCCACTGAACGTCGTCAACGAGAAGATATACGTATTCCTCTGGTTCTGGTTCCTCTTTCTCGGCATGCTCAGTTTCATCACGGTTTTATACAGGGCAAGTGATCCTATTAAATTCTTTCAGTAACTTCATTTCAAGGTTTTATAAGCTCTTAAATAAAAACGATGAAAAAGATTCAAATTTTAACAATTACTGAATATTACATTAATAAAACTGTACCAAATACAGAAATTTTGCGAATTTATTAAAAATGTTATTATATCTTAAATTCTCATGAATGGCAAAATTTTGGTTTGGAAACTAAATTGTAAAAATTGTGTAGAATATACAATATTGTGTGCATAAAATAAAAATCAGTAATACAGGATATTGTTCGCATAATAAAATGTTTTGATGAGAGAACGTCCAGTTGATAAAACATTCTGATAGTGGGCGTTCTAATAATCAGGGTTCTATTGCACTCATTCAAATTTTCAACGATGTTTGCGCGCAAATTTTTGTTTCAATCGCCTTTCTGCAGATCGTTATCATATTTTCGCCGCGAACGAGGGTGTACCTCCTACGCTTACGGTTTCGTCTGGTCCGAAGGGACGCCGTGGAGACGATCGTGCGACGGAGCAAAGTGGGCGATTGGTTTCTGCTTTACATGCTCGGCGAGAATTTGGACACGGTGATATACAGGGACGTGATGCACGACCTGGCGAACAAGCTCGCCTCGAGGCACCACCATAGCGTGCCTGGCATCAAGGGGGAGCTTCAGGAAGCATGATCGAAGTGAGTAGTGTCTTTTATTGCTTCGTTAAAGTAGCCTCTTCGAATCGTTAATCGCTACTCCGAGAGGGATCAAACGGTTTATTGAGCAGAGTGGGAAAAATGTGGGAACTAATCATCCGGTAATTGTAATTACTATCCACAATCTGTATGAAAAGTACGGAGGGATGTGCACTTTGTTCTATAAATGTGAAATCAATTAAGAAATTAAAAAATTATTTACAATCAGCAGAAGAGCTTGGCTTGACACAAACAAGTTCGACTTTTATATTAGCTAATTTCTTAAATTATAATTTAAAAAAATAGATTTTTTCCTCTAGTAATAAAAATATTAGCTATACTGACAGAATACGCATAAACAATTTTGAATATTCCATTAAAAGTTATATTATCCTTTGCTCAAGGCAATAAATTGTTATCTCAAGGCGTTTGGCTCCGATTGAACAATGTTCTCCTGTGTTATAACTAAGACAATGTAACAACGAATCAACAAGAGCAACATAACTGTATTTCAGGAACTATCGTAAACACGTGCAGGTCGATGTTAGTTTACGCCAGTATTTTTGCTCATTTTTGATGGTTTTGTACTATTCTAAAAATTTCCTCGTTAAAACCGGATGCACTTTGTATATTTAACTTTAAATGCAACCGAGAGCAGGCTGATCATTGTTGCAACTGATTATAAACGTTTTTCCTCACTTCCTTATACAAGCAATATTAATATTTGATATAATCCAATGAAATAAAACAATAATTTTTATTTAAATTTGTAATTCTTAATACCCTATTTTGTACTTGAGACAGAAAGGCAATTATCGAAATGAGTTTATCCCATGAAGGGAAGCAGTTAGTATTAACACATTGCATTTAGCCAATTACGACACGCAGTTCCCGGGTATAAAATCGGGGTATCCAATAGGCATAAATTTGCCGGCAACGAGAATTGGACATTAACACCTCCTCCTATTTTCGGCTGTTTAACAGCCGGGCGCATAGCGCATGTAGAAGAGGGCTGTGTTCTGTTGAGTTCCGTTTCGGTTCGAAATAACAGCATCATCTTGAAAGCGACGCGTGTGAAACATCAGTTGTAAAAGGAAAGAATCGGGACGGTATATTTGTCGATCGACGTAACAGGCTAATGGACAATTGCAGCCTTCGCGCTATGCGCGTTACGCGTTCCGTTGCATGGGGTGTTCGTGAAGTCTTACTCGGCAATAAAATCACGATAATACACACACGACATTACTGGCTACGAGAAAGAACATACTTGTTTCTTACGTTTTTATGATGAACATTCCCGTTTGATAGCGGATTTAATGAACTCAATTAATAGCGGATTTAATGAACTCAATTAATAGCTGCCGACGATTAAATAACATATAAATAAAATAAATCAATTAAGGAATAAGTTTAACGTTCATGTTCCATTAGTTAAGATCACCATTTTTTTTATACGTTCAGTGATTTTCTTTTTTTACAACTTATTTCAATTTTTGTAAATGCACAAACATTTATCCGAAATCATTTAAATTTTGAGCGGTCACAATGGCATAGCCCTTTGAATGGAAAAGTAGTTTCAAGATTTGTCAGATTTACCTTGTAATATTGTTACTTTATTGTTTTCGCAGATTGCCTCGGAGAGACACAGTCAGAAGTAGAATTCTCGAGGCGACGAGAATATTCTTCACCAAAAAATGGAAATGAAATCGAAGCCAAAGATAGAGAGCCAAAGACGAGGGGTGGCGAAGCGGAAGGATTACGCGTTTGTCATTTGTTCATTCGTTGCGGATGCGGGAGTTAGTGAAGGGGCGAGATTATTCTTCTGAACGTTGCGCGTTAATCGTGCTTACGTGAAAGACAAATTGCCGCAGCGATACAGCGGTTTGTTCAATTTTCGAAGCATTTGCCACGTATAACTCGAGTTACATGAAATTTTTTACTAGGAAAATTGTCATCAAGGAAGTTATTGATGACGTTCGAGGTTAAAGAAAGAAATACGATTTAAAAAAGATTGTTAGTCATTTAACGTTGAAAATGGACCATTTTGTAATTATCAATTACAAATCATTTATTTTGTGACCGATGGCAAAATTTGATGGCAATGTCCATATAAATTGAAGTGCCTTTTTATAATCAGAATTTGATGTTTAAAGATTGGCTGAATGAAATCTATCAAAGTATATATACATACATATATTATATCATGTATCACATCTTGCCATATGACCACAAGACTAGCCTCTTACGGCGATCAGAAAGAAACGAACGAATTTCCTGATATTAAAATTAGAAAAAAAGAAAATAAAAAAGCAACGTATTTCCTTCACCCAAAGTGTTCTAACTTGCACAGTTTCGTGTGAAAGTCGCAAGATATTCTGATAGGATACACTGCGTTACATTGACAGGGATGCAGGTTCTACAGCTGACAACGAGAGTCATAACGACCTATTGTATCTTCCTTTCATAAAGACTGTGCTAACGTAAAAAATGAACCAGCGAGAGTTACTTTTACTGACGACTCTTGAAATCAAATGTATTTTTATTTAAAAAGTAATTTAATAAATATAGTTTACGATATTGTCAATGAGATAATCACATCTTCCAAAATCCTTATAATAAACGAAGAGTAATAGAAGGTAAAATAATTTTCTTCGTATCTTTGGAAAACCTAAACGGAAGGATCAAGGAATAAGTCAGTCGTAATTCTAATTTTTCTATAATGTTTGAATCTCAGAGCGTGTACTACTGGAAGCAGTTTCTCAGGATGAGCACTTGTCTTTCTTTCTCTCACACGCTGATAGAAACAAAAGAAACTTTTCCTTTCATTTTTTTTTCTCAATCGCCTGTCTTCAAGTTTTCCATTTGGGGGTACAGTCTATTTTCATATCTATCGATAAAATATACCTCTCTCTTTTTATGGATTTGACTACATTTTCCTGCCTCCACTAGTATGTGCTCTAAGATTTGAATATATGACGAGAAAATTTGACTTTAGCCCTGTCAAACTACAGTTTGGTAAGCGGTAGATTCATGAACAGAGGGACGGAGTGGATCCATGCACCGGCTGGCCATATTCGGAAGCGAAAGGACTCATGCAACCGGTCCTCATCGCACGGTACCAAACAGTCAAACCGAAGAGCGGCTCTGAAAAAGGAAGCGGAGGTGAACGCGCGTTCCTCCTGCGTAATCTGATCGAGAGCATTGGCATTTAAAAGATCTTTTACGTACATATGCACGTATATCCTTTCACTGTCCGCACCGCGTGTCCAGCCGCCAGCGCCCATGTCGGTCACATTCTATAATAGCATCATTCTTTTGTTTATAGTAATTGTTTCTGACTCGATCTTTGTTTTATCGCTTTTTGCTTTCTTTTTTTCCTTCGGCTTCAACCTGGAGCTTTCTCTGCTCCACGCCTCATGGAAGGCTAAACACGCGTGCATTCACGCTTCGTGTAACAGTGTAACTCATTGCGTTTCGGGTTTCATTGTCGACGCGTTTAACATCGAAAGTGAATGGATAACGTCAGTCTACTGGATGTCATCGAACTTGCAGACATGTATTATATAAATATATCAAGTAATAATAATAATATTATTATTATTATATTACGAACGTTCGATGTAGGTGTTAGACTGTATGATAATAGTTTTCTATTTTTTCGAATTGTTGAAAGGGGAGAGGAAAGTTGTGTGTGATAAAGAAGGAGAAGAAAAGTTTGGGTGTGGGTGTACAAGGTCTTCAACTTGCCATTTACGGCCGTATGCAAAACCGGACACACGGAGAGAAAGAGGAGGAACGACAATCAACGGGACCAAGACAGATCTAAAAGTTGGAAGGAAACGGAAAGCCACGTAACTTGTTTCGGACTCATCGTCAAGTGACCGGAGGACACGCCTCGAATCTTCATCTCGAGGACATTGGTCTCATACTTACACTTGTCATCCATATTTAAAGGGCCTTAATTTTGCCTTGCACCTTTCAGTTTCGAATTAAATACATACATAGAATTATTTCTGCAGTATCTTACGAGTATAAATGTAAGATGTTTGTAAATGAATTTATGTAAAATAAATAACGATCATTTTATGTAAATAAGGAATAGATTGTGCGATTACTAAATATGTGTAATAGTTTTATTGAAAGCGGAATGTAATTGGATTGAAATTAGCTATTGGAGAATTTGCTAATAACATGTATGAATTATGACTATACATTACTGTATAATTTCATTTTTAATGAATGCAAATATTATAGTCGTCTAATTGGAGTTAATTCGATTTATAATTACAGCACAGCATGTACGAAGAATTCGACATTGAAACTGAAGCTCGATTCTGCGGTCCGGACTAACATCAGAATCTCTGCGAGCGAGCTGGAAAGGAGCCAGGAGCAAAAGTACGTAGCTCTGGCGAGGTCCCGCAGCGCGACATAAGGCCACGCACTCTTGCAGGCGTAAATAGGTGGGTGGTTGGGTAGGTAGGAAGGATAGCCGTAAAGGCCCTTTTAGACTTGCGGTCTCCAGTTGCAACCGCAGCAATAGCCGCGTCAACCGACCTTTTTCTTTTTCAAGTAAACCAAAATGTAGGAAAACATCCATGACTGTAGCGCCTGTGCATTCAAATGTGTGTTACACCTCCTGCCAACAAGAATAAAAGATAAAAAAATCGTGATTGGAAACTGTGAATATGTATCTGACGTTATCCACAGTTTTCAGATTCGCGATTTCCGTGCCTGCAATTTCTTCTCATCTGAGAAATCGAGTTGCACATCTGAAAGAGCCTTTAACAAACAAGCCGTGTAGCGCGCATATATTGCTTACACTATACTGTACCGTACAATTGTTGGTAGGAATATATGTATATACTGTGTTAGGACGACCAACCTACGACTCTTCTCAACCCTTGACCCTTACTGCTGCATA